AGAATTGAGCCAGGCTGGAATGTCAATGAAAAAAAAAAAATCCTGTGAGAATCCAGAAAAAAAAAAAAAAATCACCCCAGGCAAATATTAATTCAGCTTTATTTGTTGAACTTTTTTCTTCTCGCTTGTCTTTTTGTTTCCCACTTGACGTTGTAAAATATTTGCAGAATCTGACAACAGACATGAAATAGCAGGGAGGAAGTTTGACTGGGAGTTCTGGAAATGAACACACCACATCGAAGATGACACAATCTGGGAATGGCCTATTCTTAAATTTTGGATCGCTGGCCCACTCCCTTTCCCACTGCTGTAGTTCTAGGTGTTGACAGTTAAGACACAAGAACAAGAATTTTCAAAAAAAAAAGTTTGGAAGCATTAAAAATGTGTAGTCCCAATTAGTTCCTGTTAGATGAACTCTTCCAATCATTACCATACTGTGTGACTATTCCATTTTTTTTTCTCCTCAAGGTATATTTTTGTAGGAAAAGAAAAGAATGAGTCCCATGAGGAATGCAACATCAAACGAACCATGAAGAAAATAATGCAGAAAAGCAGATTGCATCATTTTTTTTTTTAAAAAAAGCTCATCTCATCAACAAACAACCTAAGGTCTATTTCATAATTAGACATTCACCATCAAGAGTCAGGGAGATAAGCAGTAACCCAGTGGTGAAATCCAAATTTTTTTACTACCGGTTCTGTGGGGGTGGCTTGATGGGCTTGGCAGGGGAAGGATACTGCAAAATCCCCATTCCCTCCCCACTCCAGAGGAAGGATACTGCAAAATCCCCATTCCCTCCCCACTCCTAGGGGAAGGATATTGCAAAATCTCCATTCCCACCCCACTCTGGGGCCAGTGGTATTTGCCAGTTCTCCAAACTGCTCAAAATTTCCGCTACCGGTTCTCCAGAACCTGTCAGAACCTGCTGGATTTCACCCCTGATTGCAGTGTGTAGCCTCAGAGATACTTTTAATATGGCTGGGTTACAATCCTTGATTTATGACTACAATTGAGCCCAAAATTTCGGTTGCTAAGTGAAACATTTCAGTGAATTTTGTCCCATTTTATGAACTTTTCTTTCCACAGTTGTTAAGTGAATCCCTGAAGTTTTTAAATTAGTCACCTGGTTGTTAAGTGAATCTAGCTTCCCCCTTGACTTTGCTTGTCAGAAAGTCGCAAAAGGAGATCATGTAACCTGAGGACACTGCAACTGTCATAAATATGAACCTGTTGCCAAGCTTCTGACTTTTGATCACATGATCATGGAGATGTTGCAGTGGTTATAGGTGTGAAAAAGTTCATAAATCACTTTTTCCAGTTGTCATTGTAACTTTGAACGGTCACTAAATGAACTGTGGTAAGTCAAGGATTACCTGTATTCTGAAACTATAATTTTTTTTAAAAATGTAGTTATATTATTGTTTATATTTTCTAAAATAGTGAAAAATGGTAAAAAATGGTTATATTAAAAAAAAAAACCTTTCATAACGGCTGTGAAATTCTTTCTGTGAAATGTCCATGGGAAAGCTTTGTGATATGAACATAGCCAATAACTCCAGTAAGGGGGAAAATGGCATGACCCCCAAATGAAGGAATTGGGCCATTATTTTTTACTTTTACCTTTAAAATAATATCTGTTCACATCAGTAGGGGCTACTGTATTCTAAAGCTCTGGAGACAGACAAAAAAACCCCACCCTCTTCCTTTCCATTAGCTGCTGATTAATTGGAAATTTCTGATTGCTGAAAACTTCCCAAGAGAAAATTTTGAGGAAAAAAAATTCCCAAGAGAAAAAAAAATGTACTTGGGAAATCCTTGTGGTAAGATAGGAAAAATCCCTGCACTGGAAATCATTGTGATAATGAAAGTCAACTATGATTTAAAGGAAGTCTTGAGCGATAACAAAATCTACTATGAGTTAGAAGAAACGTTGAGAATACTTACAGCCTCTGCCATGTTTGAAAAAAATATGTTTTTTTTTCAAGTTATCATTCTTTAAAATGGAGGCTGCCGTTTTAATGTCATGTTAAAAAGTGACTCCTGTCCCCCACAATCCTACATAGCAGGTGTCTCCAACCTTGGCAACTTTAACACTTGTGGACTTCTTGTGGACTTGTGGACAGCTGGCTGAGGAATTCTTGGAGTTGAAGTCCACAAGTCTTAAAGTTGCCAAGGTTGGAGACTCCTGCTACATAGAACAAAACATTGGTCACGGTGAAATGACGTACTCTCCTATCCTATAAATCAGCATTTTTCAACCTTGGCAACTTTTAAGATAAGTGGACTTCAGCCTAGGTGCTGGCTGGAAATTCTACCTTAAAGTTGCCAAGAAATGCTGCTCTAAAGGTACCTTGAAAGATTGAGGCAGGAGGAGGAGATTAGAATAGGGAATAACTATAGTGTCTGAGCCGAGGTGGCGCAGTGGTTAGAGTGCAGTACTGCAGCTACTTCAGCTGACTGCTAGTTCAGCAGATCAGCGGATCAAATCTCACCAGCTCAAGGTTGACTCAGCCTTCCATCCTTCCGAGGTGGGTAAAATGGGGACCCAGATTGTTAGGGTGCAATATGCTATTTAGTATACTGTCTTTGGTGTAAGCCGCCCAGAGTCCTCGGAGAGTGGGCGGCATAGAAATATGACTAATAATAATAAATAATAAAATAATAAAATATGTATTTGGAACAGGTAGGAAATTAAGAAAAGATGGTTTTAGTGACATAGAGATATAACTTCATTAGGGAACTTTGTTTTCTGAAAGAACTGAGAAATAATTATTTATACATGGTGTGTCCAACTCTGGCAATTTTAAAGACCTGTGAACTTCAGTTCCCAGAATTCCCTAGCTAGCTATGCTGGATAGGGAATTCTTGGAGTTGAAGTCCACAAGTCTTAAAGTTGCCAAGGTAGGACACCCCAAAAGCTGTGTGAATTTGCTCCTAAAAATGCCTTCTTTCCATTTAACATAACTACACATATGGGTACTACAGGATTACATGGATCCTTAAAAATAATATATGATTAAATATATACATGCCCACACACACATACGCATTCAACAGGAAATAATCAGAGAAACTACAGTAGATGTTTTGAACGATTCGTCTACATTTTAAAACCATAATCCAAATTAACGAAATCCTGGCATATGCTTCTATAGTCATATATAAAGCTGCATTTATTACCATTTTAGGCAGCTGAAACTCAAATATCTCCTGTCTTGGGGCATAACTGTAGTAGTATGATTTTTTGGGTCCACAGTCTAGACAAAACTGGCAGTCTGTAAAATTTATCACCATCTGCTGTCACAAAAATGTGTCAAAATTCAAATTTGCATAAATGTGGTGGTGTAATGGTCATAAGGATCATCCCTAACTGTGTTTTGTTCGGCATTTGTTTTAAATACTTTTCAGATTGTTTGGAATTCATCATTCTTCTATCCAAACATGGCCAAAGTCTGTGGGATAGCATTCCACGGCTTCCAAAGGGACAAAAATAATATTTATGACTGTTTGCGGGTAAATTCCAAGTAGAAATTGCATAGTAATCTAAATAAATTTAACAAGGGTACAACAAAACATAAATTTGAATTAAATCAGCTGAGTGAAAAATTTTTTTCCATTAGGTCCCTTATCCTGTTGACCTCTTCCCCCGTTAAAAATAATAGCCTTAATTATGCTTTCCATAGATTTTTAGATTTTTCTCATATGAACACATTTTATATACTAATTAAAGTGAAATGAAAATGATTCCCCTAGTAAAAGATTACACTTTTACTATGTAGTGGAGGGGGTGGAGTTTGCATTATGACATCACAATGCTCTGTCTACCAGCTTCTCAGTTTTGACCTTCCCCTGATCTTTTTGTCTTTTATTCCTAAAACATTACATTTCTAGGAATAGATGAGAACATCTTAGGGTACTGAAGGAACTTTATCTGAAGAACACATAGACCAGAGGTGGGGAACAATGGTCCCTTTGTGGTGTGTGGACTTCAATTCTGGGAGTTGAAGTCCACACGTCATAAAGGGGCCATAATTCTTGATCCCAATATGCTGTAGACCCAGTGAGTACCTTGAAAACAATTCAATAACTAGATTTTTAACTTCAGAAAAATATTTGAAACACTGAATAACAAGCTGGTTAAGTTTGTTGGCATGCCACTTGAGTGGATACATGGCTAACTGACAATTATGATGACAATGAAGACTCTTCCAGCAGCAGCTCAGCTTATTCCAACTGTAAAATCAATTCTGAATTGTGGCTGTCACTTAGGAATACTGAGATTGAACCTGATAGTAGAATTTTAATTTTTCCCTTTCCTAAGGGATCTACATACAGTATCTTATTCCATTTTTTTTAGCTTTATTTCCAATTAAACAAGTTATTTTAAGCATGCTCATGAAGTCTGAATTTCATTCTGGATTGGACTGATTGTTTTACTGAACTATATCACCAAATCTTTCTGCCTAGTCCAAGAAAAAACAATAAATAATATCTTTTTGATGCTATCTATCTATCTATCTATCTATCTATCTATCTATCTATCTATCTACCTACCTACCTACCTACCTACCTACCTACCTACCTATCTTCCATCCTCCATCCATCCATCCATCTCTAATCTATCTATCTATCTATCTATCTATCTATCTATCTATCTATCTATCTATCTATCTTCCATCTATCATCTATCTATCTATCTATCTATCTATCTATCTATCTATCTATCTATCTTCCATCCATCCATCATCCATCCATTCTTCTATCATCCATCCATCCACCTACCTACCTACCTACCAATCTATCTTCCATCAATCATCTATCTGTCTGTCTATCTATCTATCTATCTATCTATCTATCTATCTATCTATCTATCTTCCATCTATCATCTATGTATGTATGTATCCATCCATTCATCCATCTATCTATCTATCTATCTATCTATCTATCTATCTATCTATCTATCTAATCTTTCTGTGTAAGTCTGGAAACATGAACTTACCTTTTTTTTGCGCAGGACAACTTGACAGTCTGTAGGTTGGCATGTGACTGTTTTACTCTTTAAATCAGATACTTCCGAGACCAAGGGTGCATTCAGAATGCACTCATCCTCAGCATTTGTAACATTACACACATCCACATTATTATCCTCTGACCAGATGTGAGAACCAGGTAAGTGTGCAAGAGAATGATTGGAATCTCTTATAATCGCATCATTGCCCCGATGCTGAGAAAGCGTATCTTCATCATGGAATAAAGTACAGTCATTCTTCTCATCTGATTTTTCATATTGTAGGGCGGTAGCTCCACAAACTATCTGCTCCTCCAATATACTTTTTTCCACAGCAGGTTCCCAATTTTTTTCTTTTGAGACATCTTTACTTTCATGAGAGTTGTTGTATCCAAGTATGAGAACTTCTTCTCTGCTATTGTTTTTCATTGCTCCCTCATGAGAAGTGCTCATTTTTTCAGTTGGTTCAGCAGTATGATAGCATTGTTTCTTTGCTTCTGCTCTTGAGATGATCTTCACTGAAGGTTCCTCTAAGCTCTTCTTTTCAGCTAACAATTTATCTTCAACAGGCATAAACTGGCAGTTGATGGTCTCCAAAGGGAGGTCCGTGTTCTTGCTGCCACCATTGCCATCATCGCTTCCAACAGAAACATTGACTAAAGTTTCCACACTAGCTTCCAATGAGAGAAAGTCTCCTTCTTCTTGATGATTTTCATTTTCATCCAATTCTTTGGAAACGTTGCTGAAAAGCTTCGAGGGGAAGACGACCAACTCTCCAACATGACAGCAATCTGGCAAGGAAGCACTTTTTTCTTTCAGATTTTCACACCGAAGTTCCTTCTTTTCCATTCCGGCTTGCAAGTTGTCAACTACTAAGCCATGTCTGCATAATATATTAGAATCAAGAGATCCAAAATGCAAGCTCATCCATTGGGTCACATGTTCTTCCCAGCTCCTTTTTCTGATTGCTAGAGACATGTCATAGCATTTAACAATTGGTTCCGAAGTGTGACATAATATACGCTGGAGGAAACATTATGGATTCTATAAACTTTTCCATCCAATGAAATGGCTCTTGCTCTTGCATATCTGTATTTTTTTTTTTTAAAAAAAAAGATAGAATTCCAGTGTAAGAAGCAATGAAAGCATTCACATATTCCTTAAACTTTTAGGAAGAAATGGTTTTGTAGAACAGTTTTAATCGTTTGCAAACTATTAAGTAGTTAAATAGATATAATCAAGCATATCCTCTTTGCTGAATCCTCCCTCAATGAAGTAAACAGAATGTTATAAACAACTCTATGAGAACATAACAGGTTCCTTAAGCCAAATTTTGACAATGACCCTTTTTCATTGATTCAATCATAAGACAACAATTTTCCATGGGTTTAAAAGCTATCAAATCTTGTGAGTTCATGATACTAGTCAACATTTCAAAATAGCCAAGCCTAGCATTATTGTCAAAAAGCTGGGTTTTAATGACTCTTATGTTTTAAATGGTCATATTTATTACACTAGTAAAGCTATACCCAAGTAAATGGAATAAAAAACCTACCTAAAACCTTTGAAGAAAATTAGATTTGATTAGGATGCTAACAATTAGAGACATTTTGCTAAGTGGGTTGTTATTTAAAGTAGGTAGAATGCCTACACTCCTATCCTAAACCTGTGCATTTGATTTTTATTTCCTAAGTAAATAATTTTGTTTCTGTTTCTGTACAATTTCATTATGCTACTTTCAGCCTATTTCTCCAAAGTTGCATTTTTATTCTTGATAAAGGAACTATTCTATGATATGTTTCTATCAATCTCAAGCTTCAGTCCTTCTCTTTCAAACACAAGATTTTTTTTTTTTATTTGAAGAAACCTGAATATAGGTAGGGTTTGATTAACTCTGATTTTCCTCTTATTTTAACGGATATGTGATATGTGGATTATCATGGTGTTCCCTGTGACAGTCTATGGAAGCAAAAATTGGACTTTGAAAAATCAGGATAGGAAGCACATTGTTGGAGAAAACTCCTGAGAATATCCTGAACAGCTAAGAAAACAAACCAGTGGTGAAATCCTACCGGTTTGCACCAGTTCGGGCAAACCGGTAGTGATAAAATCTACCGGTTTGGTGAACTGGTAGTGAAAAAAAAGCTACCTGTTGGTCCCAAACGGTATTTCCAATGATCAGCTGTGCCGCACAATTTATATTAGCTAGAAAGCAGGAAATCTTGCTTTCTAGCTAATCTAAATCGCACGGCACGGCTGTTCCCCCCCCGCTGTTCTACTTACCTTCAACCTCCTTTTTCTGCATGAAATGTGCATTTGGTGCGCACTGCACATGTGCTTGAAACATGCATTTGGTTGCACTGCCCATGTGCGCACAGCATGAATCTGGCGTGCACTGTGCATGCACATGTGTGCAGCATGAGTGTGATGCGCACTGCGCATGCGTGGCAGCAAACTGGTCGCGACCCGCGGAAGATTTCACCACTGAAACAAACTGATGGGTCATGAAACAAACAGAGTTTGCACTGGAAGCACAAATGACCAGGCCCTACTTTGGATACATTATGCAAAGACCCAGCTCTATGGGGAAAGGCTCTAATACCAGGAAAGTTGGAAGGAAGGTGAAGAAGTGGGTGACCAGGAGGAAGGTGCATGGACTCTGTTGAAGTGGCAATCAGTGCATCTTTGGGAGGCTTGAAAGAACATATTAACAATATATCGTCATGGAGAAAATCTATCTATGTAGTTACTATCAGTCAAAAATGACTTGATCGCACATAATCATTCAGTCAATGGATATGTGAGTTAATTGAATTCTGTTGACCAGAACATGAGACCTTTACTAAATGAAGATGGAGCTGCTACAGAGCATCTCTTAGATATATGACATCCTTGTATAAAACTATTGTTTCCGCTGAGGAAATAGCAAACAATCCAGCTGCTTCATGCAAAATCTGTCTTTTCATGTAGAACAGGGGTGTCAAACTCAATTTCATTGAGGGTCGCATCAGGGCTGTGATTGACCTCAGGGGGCCAGGTGGGCATGGCCAACTGGTTGGCTATGGCTGACTGGTTGGGCGTGGCCAGCTTGACACCATTCCCCAAACTGCTGCCATATGTTCTATCCCAGTCCCACACACACACACACCCACAGACGTTCAAGAGTTAAAGACCAAACCAGCCGGCAAAATCCTTTTCCTTATGATAACGGAACTTGGCAACAACCTAGTGGCTGCCTGCCAAGGGTTTATTACTTATGAAGAGGAGAGATAACTTCTCCCCGCTTCTGGTACATCAAAGGAAACAGCTCAATAATTACAGAGTCAATCAAATCCAGAGATAATCCAGCAAAGTCTATAGCAAAAGTCCAGCAATGCAGAATGGCGTGGAAGCTTTCAGCTTTGTTTGTCACAAGGTTTGACTGGCCACCCTTTTATACCTTGTGGGGTGTGGTCCAGTGACTCAGTCTAATCTCGGGCACGCCTTTTCTTCTGCGCTTATCTCTGCGATGCTGGTGTGGATCCAGCCAAGACTCATTACCCTCATCACTGTCCATCTGTGGCTGCGTGGACGTGCTTGGCCCCGGCCCTATCTCTTGCCCTTTGGCGGACACCGAAGGCATTGCCAGAGAGGAGGGTCCTGGAGAGGGAGGCCTTGCCAACTCCTCTCCTTCACTCTCGGAGTCCTCTCCTGCCGATGACACAGGCTCATGTAACGGAGCCACAATACCATATTTCCTCTTTGCACTGAAGAGACTGGGCCAAAGCAACGTGGGGCAGCCCCTTATATTTTCCTTACTTTTTCCAGGACAGCCCCACGGGGCAGATTCAACCACATCGCAGGCTGGATCCAGCCTGTGGGCCTTGTGTTTGACATCCCTGATGTAGAAGAACTAGCATAGGCTACTATCTAAATTTCCAGTTGCATCTATGTAGCTTGGATGTCTTCAAACAAGAAGAAATGAACAGGAGTTTCATGGAGAGGGAGGATTGCAACAGAAGAGAGACCCCCCTTTTCCTGTCTGCTCTTTCTCCCAATTCCTCTTTTATAGCTTTCTCAATCCAGATTTTTAAAGTCACATTGAGCCAACTCCCATAAAATCATTCTCCCTTTCCTTCTGAAGAAAAACCAGAAAATGGATATTAGGCTGTGAAATGCAGGATCAAGAATATATTGGGAAGATTTTTTTAAAATTAACAATAAATGGAATGTTTTTGGGGGTAACTCCTGTTCATTTCTTCTTGTTTGAAGACATCCAAACTACATAGATGCAACTGGAAATTTAGATAGTAGCCTTTGGGGGTAAAAAACTAAGAAGCAAAAACTTTTTTGGGATTCAAATAGCCAAAATCTTTTTCAAATTGAGCTGATTACAAGGACTTGTCTATATCCTTCTCTATGACATTTTTTTTTCATCCTTGATATAATCTTCTTTTGGGATGAATTTTTAACTTCACATCTACACTAAAGATTTGGGATTCCTTGTGGTTCTCCATCTAATTACTAAAAGCAAGTCTGACTTTGTTCAGCACTTTAATGATCAGGTTGTTATATGCTGCAGTGGCTACCGTTATATCCAGGGGTGGGTTCTAAAATTTTTTACTACCGGTTCTGTGGGCATGGCTTATTTTGTGGGTGTGACTTGATGGTCATGTGACAATTCTTTAGGATTTAGCAGAAGTACTGGTCTACCAGGCTTTTAACTGCTTGCAGAGCTGTACCGGTCTACTCATTTGTTTTTGGAGGCACCGGTCTACCCATTTGTTTTTGGAGGCACCGGTCTACTCATTTGTTTTTGGAGGCACCAGTCTACCAATTTGTTTTTGGAGGCACCGGTCTACCCATTCGTTTTTGGAGGCACCGGTCTACCAATTTGTTTTTGGAGGCACTGGTCTACTCATTTGTTTTTGGAGGCACCGGTCTACCCATTTGTTTTTGGAGGCACCGGTCTACCACCACACTGCCTTTTAACACTGATCAGTCATAAACACCTCAAGTCATAAAAGGGCCATAGTTGCCCACTCTGTTTTAAGGTATCTATGCCTAGTTTCTTCATATTGACTTTTTTTTCTTTCATACTCTATTCCTTCTTAAAATTCCAGATATTTTGACCCTATTTAACTACTTTTGTTCTAAACTGTTCATTAAAGTAATTTTCTCTCTTTTTTTTAATTGGGGAAGACTTGGTGCTGGGCTGCAAACCTACAGAACAAATTTTGATTAAATATTGGGAGAAATCTTTTGATGGCATGATGTATATAACAGTAGAACAGTCTATCTATAGAGGTGGGTTCTCCATCTCTGGAGGTTTCGAAGAAGAATCTGGATAGCCTTCTCTTGAACATGGTTTAATAACTTTTCCTATGCAAAAGGTTGGACTATATGACACTTGCGGTCACTTCTAACTCTACAACTGTATGTTTCTGTAACCCATGATTTCCTGCAAAATTAAGATTGGATGTGATATCTTCCAATGCCACTGAATGTTTCTTTCCCCTTGATATAAGCATAAAGAGACTCTACAAATATCCACATTGTCTGTGGTGTAAAACTAACAAAATAATCTCTAAGTAATAAATTTAAATTTAAATTCCATTGAGGACCTGTATACTGCCCGAGTCAAAAAGAGGGCCGTGAAAATATCTACAGACCCCTCACATCCTGGACATAAATTGTTTCAACTTCTACCCTCAAAACGATGCTATAGGGCACTGCACACCAGAACAACTAGACACAAGGACAGTTTTTTCCTGAATGCCATCACTCTGCTTAACAACTAATTCCCACAACACTATCAAATAATTTATTAAGACTGTATTACTATTATTCTTCTCTTCCTTACTAGTATCTATCTCTTCCCACTTATTACTATAACAATGTTGCTTGTATCTTTCGATTCATATTATTTTTATTTGTTTCCTAATACGATTTGATAGCTTATTAGTAACCTTGACTATCACTATATGTTGTATCTTTTTATTCTTGATGAAAGTATTTTATTTTCCTTATGTACACTGAGAGCATATGCACCAAAGACAAATTCCTTGTATGTCCAATCACACTTGGCCAATAAAGAATTCTATTCTATT